GCCTGTGGAAGCGTTCTGTGTTGTGTGGGCTGTTTTTTAGGTTAATGCACAGGTTAATATAGTCAAATGCACGTTGCAGGGACAGTAAGATCTCCCAGTCTGAAAAGAAAACAGCCTTCCTCTAGTTGGTTTAATGTCCTTTGTTGGAGGAAAGGACATAATACAGAGTCTTTGTTCGGGTTAGAAATTTTACCCTTTAATATAAAGCAGATCTGCTTGGAAGCTTTTTTGCCCTAAGAACTAGAATATAGTTATGAGTGGATGTTTGCTTCAGTAATTACCAGCTGCTCCTGATTTAAGTAACTGTCCTTTGAAGTTCCACAGTATCTTTGGATAACGGTCCTTGGGGCAAAGTAGAAAAGAAAGCAAAAAATTAGAAAGGGATTCCTTCACATTCCCTTGGCAGAGACAAGCAGCTAGTAAAACGGCAGGCTCAGCCTTCCTCTCTCTTTCCCTTCCACTCAATATTGAAAAACATATGAAAAGCGCCTAAAATGGTGAATTTTTTTTGAATTCTAAGTATTCCAGAACTGAAGAAGGAAGATAAGGGGAGAGGAAAAGAAGACTCAAATAATATGGCAACTGAGAATATTAATTAGCAAAATAATATGTACAGGCTTTGATGCATGAAGCTAAAGGCAAATACATGATCTAAATTAGATAATGAGTTCTTAAAAACAAAAAAAGAGTTGAATTATTCCAAAATGTCTGCAAAGAAATAAGAGATGGTTTAGCAGATCAGTAGCAGCTCCTGGAGGTCACTGTGGTGTGGTTATAGGCCAGAGCAGGTAGAGGTAGCAATGGAAGGGATCTTTATCTTTTCTTTCCAGAGAATGATTAGAAGCATGGATAGCTTGGATTTGTCACAGCTGCTATCTTGCAAAAACAATTAATTTGGAAATAAATGTGAGAGCAAATTGAAGTTTTCTCAATTAAACAAAAGTATTTCTTAATTGCGTATGCTTATGGCAGCTGTTACTAATAAAAAATTAATTCAGTTGCTCCTGAGGCCAATGATAGATAGGATTTGACTGACTAGGCTGAGAAATTACATTGGTGATTGTTTAAGGTTTCTGTTTTGTTACATCAGTTGTTAGCAGGCTTCTTGGAGTCTCTGTCTTAGCAGAGCCTTATTCAATCCCAGTTATTCATCCCAAGCAAAAGATCTTGGCAATAAGAGCTGAAGTGTGAAGTGTCTTGCACAATAGGAAACGTAAAACCTAAATATTGGCTGGAGACACGATGTCAGAAGGGAAGTTGAGCTTAATAATCTTGCCAGTGCTTCTCCGACCACGTTGTCTTAGCTTTCTTACGGCTTCTGCAGGAACTGAGTTGAACAACAAACAATACACATCTTTCTTGTGTAACTATACATGGAAAAATATTACCTGAATAGCTTTATCTATGTATAGCAACAGAGGAATAGTGGGAACAGAGGAATATAGGAACAGAGGAATAGTGGGAGAGGAAAACCAAATCTAGGTGCTAGAAACAATTCTGATACTCCTCTTTTGGAGTGAATTTTATTAAACTCTTGTATTATATTTTTCAAGAGCTGAGCAGTCGCAGATCTCTTACCAACGATGAGCTGAGGTTCCTCTGTCATGACTTTAAAAGCACGACTTCTTGATAGGAAATGTATGGACTTGTTCTGATTCATCTGCGTGTGCATTTGAGTTTTCAGCACATGAATTTCTTAATGCAGATGGCAATAACTGCCTTACATTCATGTTATGTACTATGGCCTTGAAATTTACTTTTGAAGGACTTGCTGAGTAGCTAGGGATTTCTTCACAATTAAATCTTTAATAAGGTCATAACTCATATCTTCAGGGCACTGCGTAAATACTAATTTTCATAATCCCCCTGTGAACAGTGAAAGTAAGCATCGTCCCCGTTTTTCATCTCGGTAAAACTGAGATTGAGGCAGAAACACTTATCAGAGGCTGCAGAAGGGATGGATGGCTGAAGGCAGGATTAGGAAGTCCCTGGTTCTCAACACATCGTATAAACGGCCTCCCTTCAAAGTACGGAACAACTGCATTTCGTGCAGGGTGGAGAGATGCACTGTGATGGAGTTGCTTCCTCTGAATTTATAGAGCATACAGCTAGGCAATAAAGCACGCTGCTCAGCTGTGAGGAATCAGAAACAGCAAATAGTTCTATTTTTAGAATAGCTCAGTCCAATGAATTTATGCTCCACCTTCTGGATGCAATCAGCACACCCAGGATATGAAGTTTGTCCATCCTTCTCATAACCAAGTTCTGCAGTAACTGCAAATGCCACCCATGACAAAGGTCAGGAGACTTCTGCTCACTGCCCTGGTTGCTTGGCTGTCTGATGAGGTATGAAATCTTCGGAAGTAATGTAGGTGTGCACGTCACAGAATGAGGGAAATCAGATATGCGTGTTGGAAAATGCCTTTAATGGAAACCTCAGGACATTGCAGGCTCTGCTTTCTCCATGGCTTCCTAGACAAACAGAAGATGTGTGTTGATTCCTTATGTAATTTGCTTTATAGCAGCAAAAAAGATGCACAGACCAAATAAGTCTGAGCAGCTCTCTCAATGAGCAGATTGTCTGCATTGAGACATTCGCAAACTGAGCGATGGAAGTAAATGCTTTTATAAAACTGTGTGCACAAAGTGCCAAGTTGAGGTGCACAGTCTGTATCTGTTTCCATCTCTCCATCCCTGCTTCTCTGGGGAGAAAAGATTGTCCTGTTTTGGAGCAGAGTTTTTCTGTCTCTGCTTTAGGTTTAGAAATGTTTGTCATATTGTTTTCACCCATAGAAGATAATGGAGGTAATATTATATTTATGCCTAAGTATACTTTTCTTTCCCCTCAGCTTTTAGAGGATGATCCGTGGCCACGACTGAATGCTTCTGAGCCTGTTCCTTCCCTCATGCATAGCAGCATGATCTCAGAAAAATACGCCGAGCTGCCAAACGAGATTGCCAAAAGCAATTTACCTTCATCAGGAGCGGCCCTGAAGGATTCAGGTCCACAGGACGAGAAGTGCAGCAAAGCGTTGGCTTTGAGGATACAGGAATCCTACAGTAATGGTTTGTCAGTCAGTCTATCCCCATCCAACTCTACAAATTCAGGCACGGACCAAAAAAGCTTAAAGGTGTCTCCTAACAGCCAAACAAAAGCCCAAGATGCGGAGAGGACACCCACAGCAAACTTTAAAAGGACATTAGAAGAATCCAATTCTGGCCCTGCTGTGAAGAAGCCGAGGCGCGGCCTGAGCCGAAACATGGGCGTCCAAGCAGAGGGCATCTCCACAACGCCGCAGCGCAAGAACTCAAACAAGCTGGCCATGCGGCGCAGCCTGCGCGGCCAGAAGAAGCTCAGCAGTTCGCTCTTCCACCCGCCCAGGAAAGCCGTCTGCGTTTGCTGAAGGGCTTTTGTGTAGGGGAAGTGTATTTTATTCTGATGGGAATTTTAAAGTTGGTGCAGAAGTTTGAAACTCTTCCTGTTTTATCTTTTTTTAAAGTAGAAACTTTTTTTGGTATCCAACAGCTTTCTCCCGGCCTTGTACTTGCTTGTATTATAACTGTGAATTTTGTAGATGTGTAGGGTATAAGTCACTGTAAAATGTGTGTAAATTTGTATTCCTTCATATTAATGTAGTCTCTTTTTTCTTCCTTGTATAATTGTTAAAGCGGGGCTAAACCTTGTTTCAAAAAAAAAAATAAAGTCTTTTTTGTTAATTTACTAAAGTCTTGAATTTGTATACGCTTCTTGTGATGGGAATTTCACAACTTTTTCACTGAAGTAAATTATTAAACAGAATGGAAGATATGTATTTTCATAGTATTATACGTCCCACTGGAATGTGTCTTTTAGAGAATACACTAGGTCTATATTTTGTTTTTAAATTTTAGATTTCTCTACTCAGAAACATGTGGAAACAGATGTTGAGTTGTGGTTTAGGCAGCTCGATGTCCACTTATTTGTTAATTGAAATACTATGCAGTATCTTATCTAGTTGCATTTTTGTAACATTAATAGTCAAAGTATTTAGCAAAAAATAGTGTTTTTAAAACTCCAACTCCCCAGTCATTCAATAAAGCCATTCCCCCATCCCTGCTCTCAGTGGTGGCATTTCTACCCAGCTGTTCATGTCTGCCCTATGGAGGTTGAGTTCTCTGCTGTTCCAATACGGATGGTGCTGCTATACCTTTCAACAAGTTCTTAAGTTATTTTATGACAATTTGAGTATGTGGACCACATGTATGTTCACCTAAATAAAAAGTGCGAACTAAACTGAGTGCCTTTTATTTTTTTGCCTTTTATAATTTCCAGCTTAAGTACACTCACTCACTGCAATTAACACTCTTTCCTCCTTCCTGGCGGCGTCTGTATGGAGCCAATTTCCATAGGACTTCCTTGGCAGCTCCGTGATGACACAGATCTGGCATTTTGCACGTGATGTGTTTGTAAATGGGCAAATGAGGAGTGATGCTTTGATCCAAGGGCTGGAGGTATTCCTAGGATCTGATTATTGCTGGAACAGTAAGGCACGAGCTGGAATTATCTCTGTGTTGCCATGGTGACAGAAATCCTCTCTGGGAATGTGTAATTCCGTTTCATCCGGGCAGTGAATGCTGCGCTAAGGGGGAAAGCAGCGGGCTCTGTTGGATTGCCTGCTGTAAGACTTCACAGGGACACAACCTATGGCTATCAACGCAGTTTTAAGCAGCATGGCGGTTCACGCCCGGATAAATATTTACTCCCTGACAGTCGGACGGTGCCTGCCGCTCCCCAGGTGCCACGAGCTGCCCGCGCTACTCAGCGAGTCGCCCTGAGGGCCGGGGATGCGAAGCTCGCGCCTTCTCAGAGCCCCCAGCGCGGGAAGGTAAACACGGCGCCTTCCCGCCAATGGGCGGCTCGGCACGTGACGCGTCACCCGCGGCTCCGCCTCCACCCACGTGCGAGGGACCTGCGCGGCGGCTCTCGCGAGATCTCGATGTAAACAAAGCTGACTGGGGGAGGAGAGGGGGCAGCGCCGGCTGAGCTTCGCCATCTCAACCGAACTTGGATGAGCGCAACCGAACCCTGCGCCCTCTGCGTCCCGCCTACTTTGGAGGAGAGGACCGTGGATTGGTCGGCAGAGGGGAGCAGCCCGCCTTCGGGGCCATCTGATTGGCTCGCGGTGTGAGGTGCGCTCCGTGTCACACCCGGTGGGGGTCCCAAACACTGTCAGTGAGGAGCCGGGCTGAGGGGCGAGGCGGCAGGTGAGGGGTGCGGCGGGGCCGGTAGGACCGGTGCCCGGCCACGGCAGCCGGGGAGAGCAGTGCGTGAGGGCTTAGGGCGGGCTCGGGATCCGCGGGGAGTTGGTGGGGGTGAGAGCGGGGCTGTGAGGCCGGGCGGTGGCCGGGGCGCTGAGGGCGGGCGAGCTGCGCCCGGCGGGGCCGTGGCGGGAAGCGGGTAGGCCGGGGGCTGCTGGGAGCTGCCTGCCAGGGGCTGCGGCCTCAGCCCCTGCGAACGGAGCCGGGCGGGTCGAGGTGCAGCGCTCCGGTGTTGCTCAACCGCTGTGCGGCCGCCTCAGCGCTGTGGCCCGCGTTCCCGCTCGCGGCTCGTGCCGGTCGGGGCAGCGCTGTGGGCTCTCAGCCTTCAACTCCCGGTGTTGCGGTGATGGACCGAGCCATAGAGCCGTGCCGCCGGGTCGCTGCATGTGTTAAGGGTTAAGGTTGCTAAGTATGAAGCGAAGCTGATAACTCGTGTTGGAGCTGGATGCGGTGATCCTTATGGGTCCCTTCTGCCTTTTCTGTGATTCTTTATTGGGAGTTTGGCTTTTCCTTTGTGCTTTCTGAAACCATGGAAATGGAACGCTGTGCCTGGGAGCTGTGGTGCCGTACAGGTGTTGTTTGCCATTAGGAAAGGCGTTCAGAATTCAAAGGGCCCAGTTGCATTCACATACTTTGCAGGAGGTGTATTGATACCAGTAGAGGATATCTCTATCTATCTGTATTTTTAAGAGTGCTGTGAAGGTGTGGTGCCTTATGGGTTGAGTCAGTTGAGTTTCCTTCTCCCGGAGGTTTTCATAATCCTAAAAAAGGTGACAAGAGCTGGATTGTGAGCGATCTTCATGCAAAGGATTGTCATTAAGAGGAAATGTTTCTACAGGTACCTGCAGAGAAGCAATGGCGACAGAATCCCCACGCCGCCCGAGTCGCTGCACTGGAGGAGCGGTGGTCCGCCCGCAGGCTGTCACGTAAGAACGTTCTGGAAGAAAAGGCCTTATGGGGAATGTGTTCTGGGGTCTTGCTTGTGAGGCACCTTGCCCAAACTCTCTTTCAAAGCTCTCTCTGAGAGATGATGTTGACAAAACATTGCTGTTGCAGTCGGTATTTTCCAATAAAAGGAAGTAAGCAGGTGTTGCTTTCCTGTCTCCTCTGCCTGTGCAGGTCAGACAGCCTCCCTGAATGAGATACTTATCAGCCTTTAGAGCTGTGCAGCTTAAAGATGAATACTGAAACAAATTCTCATGGAGAAGATTATGCTGAGTAGCACGTAGCTCCCTGCAGACTTTTGCTTATGTTAAACTGAATTATTATAAACAGAAGGTGGTAGAGAACTACAAGAGGAGTGATACATAAACTGATCTTCTTTGAACTTGATTCTATAATGCATTTTAAGCCTCCCAATGTTAAGTGTTCTGTTTGTTTTTAGGGTTTGTTGTTGTTTTTTAAGCAATTCAAAGGAACTTTCAGGGCTTTTTTTTTTTCCCCTACATTGTGAAGGATTTAGTATACTATGGTGGATAACATTTCCCAAACATCAGCTTTGTTCCTAGGCATGCTACAGGGAGGAAAAAAGGCACCCCAGTACTCATTTAACAAACTGAAAGATAGAGCCATTATGACTATTGCTGGTAGGCATTCACACCAGAACTTCAGTCACCATTAATACTATACCTGTAAGATGTTATTGGTTGGTAATGAAGGACTCTGAAGGTACACAAAGACAATTTTTTGTGACCTACATAAACAAAAGAAGGATCAGCTCTAGAAAACCACACCTTATTTGTAAGGCCTTTACTTAAAGCAGTAGGATGGTCTCCACTGATTCAGCCATTGCCTGGGTTGCTGTACAAAGCCTGGTTTTGTCATTGGTTGGAGTAAGCTTTCAGATATTTTAAGTCCTGTGGTTTTGATTCATCATTGTTTTCAGAGAGGAGTGCAGTAGTTAAGTTGATTGAGGTGCTGCAGCATTTGAAATATCTTTGCTGCCCTCGTTTAGGGGAGAGCATCTCAGTCTTACCTGCTGAAAGTTCCAACTTTGAATAATTTACATGGTTTTAGAGAATACAAAGAAAATGTGCATACCTTTGGCCATCAAGGTCCCTGATTGCTTACTTTATGATTTTTCCTTGTTGCTCTTAGAAATCTTAGAGTAGCACAGGAAAAGTGCCTGGCAAAATGAAAATGTGAGGGCTGCCAAAGATGTGCACTGGAGGAAGTTGCTTTCTATTTGTTTTCAAGTTTCCAGACTTTATGAACATAGATTTGGTTGCCAGAATATTTCAGTATTATGCATTTCAAAAAGCCCAAACTTTCTGTGTAGTTTCAACACTGTGTCGTGAGCTCAGCCAACGTTGTGCATTGCTCAGCAGTTACACAAGAGCCTCACCACTCGTGTGAGGATAAGCTCATAAAGACGTTTGTTTAAGTCTAGCAGAACCAGTGTGTCTTGCAGTACTTACTATGCACTGCTGCTAATGAACTTCCAAGAAGGAATAAGCTTTCCAAGCTGTAAAACTGTATCTGGAAGTATCTCCTTACTCATCCTGGTTGGGGTTTTGTTCCACCCACTGCTGCTTCCATTCCCCTTGTCGCTGTACATTTGCACCTGAGGTTGTAAAGTTTACAGGCCCCACAAGGAAAGCTCCAGCCCTTGGTGTGAGCCCTCTTTCATGGTGTAAGATCCAGTTCAAGTAGAAAAATGCTGAGAAATGTTTTTCCAAAAGCCTTTTTTGCTCTAATTGGTCTTTCTACTGTGGAGAATGTGGGTTCTTTCTCAGCTGTTATATTTTATCTTTTCCTGAGCAGTTGGTTCATAAATAGGTATCAATTCACATTTTACATACTTTTAGGTCACTTTGTATGTAGTCAGTGTGTGACAGCCTATTGAGTAACTGCATCGCATCCTTAGTAGTTTTGTGTTGTCATGTGTGTTTCATCTGTCAATATGTCTTATTTAATATATCCCTAACCACTTCTGGACCAGTAGTAGTGAAAAATTCTCCTTCTGTTTTCAAGGGAACAGTCATATATGGAAAGTGTTGTTACTTTTCTTCAAGACGTTGTGCCACAGGTATGTGCATACCTTAAAAGTTTTTTCACTAGCAAAGCAGAAGTCTTCATTCTGTTTTCTCTCTCTCTCTCTGTCTTCTTTTATCCCTTTTTTTTTCCCTCCATGAGAACTGCAGTGCTTCTGTTTTTGTGGTTTTCACAGGTAGCAGCAGGTAACATGTTTCACAGGTAGCATGAAATGGTCACTTCTGTATTGCTTGTGGGCCTCTCAGTAGCAGAGGGAAGGCAGTGCTGGAAAGCTGCAGTCAGTAGTGAAGTGTTGCAGCTAATTGCCCATAGCCTCAGGAAACTCTCTTGGTTCTTATTTGAATGACTGTCTTGGATAACTGAAGTCATGAATTTCTTTAATGGTAATAATAATAAGAAGAAATCCCCTTGCTGGTATTGGCTTGTGAAATGCATTTTTGGACTCATGGTCAAAATTAAATTAGTCAAACTTTCATTTAAAAGACTGCTGCATTCCTTATCCCCCCCTTGCTGCCTTTGCTTTTCTCTGTAGTTAAAGGGTACAGTCTGTGTTTTGTTGTACAAATCAATTTGCCTTGGAAACATGGAATGCAGTCTGTTTTGAAAAGTAATACCCACACTTTTTAAATCTGTTTTTTTAGCTCATGTTATTGCTTTTCTGGTGTGTATAAAGTGATTATATGGTCTCTTTTCATATTTATTCCAATATATTGCTCCATATTTTGCCGTAATTCATTTGGAAGTGATGGTATTTCTACTGCAGCTCACGTTCTTACTACTACAGTTTCTCCTGAGAACTGTAAAGCATGCAGCTTGGAAACACTGCAAGTCTCCTTCAGAGTTTCTTTGTGTATCTCATCTTATGGGAGTCTGTGGAACACAGAACTGAAACACAGATTTGTTCTGCTGGGATTGCAGTTTATTCTCTGTAAAATGTCTGAGATAAAGATGTCACAAATGTAACTATAATGTGTTGGTAAAATAAATTGTAGTAAAAGTCTGTTTCTTTCTTCGTTTTTGCTTAGCATGTAAGTGAAAGCATTGAAGTGAATAAAAAAGGTTTTAAGAATAAAAAGGCCTCCTGTGAGAACCTCTGATGTTGCTCTTAGAGGCAGTGTAGAATTGCTAGGAGTTAAATGTGGCAGAAGTCACTCTTTTAGCCTGACTAAATTGCTGTAGGACCTGTGGCAGTTCTGACCTGCTGCAGAAGGCTTACTGCTGTGTGTCTGCTTCAGTGAGTGATGTTAGAACGTGTGAGTCACAGCCAGCATGCTGTGTGCTGATCGTGGACTGGTTCCTTTTTGAAGCAAGATGACCCAGTAATGCTGGCTGCCTGTAAGGTGCAGGTATACCTGATTACTGATAAACGTCACAGTCTCTTCTGTGCTCTATAAAGGAAGGAAAAAGCGGGTGTTACATTTTCTTATTTTGAGCCTTTTGCTTTTTGTCCAGGCCTACAGTGGCACTCCTCCAGCAGAAGAAAAGGAGAAGATCATTTGGGTCAGATTTGAGAACGCGGATTTGAATGGTACGGTTTCATTTTTCTCTCAGTATGTAAATGCTTTTGGTCGGTACCGTGCAAATGGAACAACCTGCTACTGCATCTAAAGGCAAACCAACTCTTGCTTAGGAAGAGAGGCAAATAATAAAAAATCCTTTTGTTATGATAGTTGAAGATGAAGCATAGAACTGAATTTCTTTTGTGCACTGCTTGGTTTTAAAGTTAGATTATCTAACTGTGAATCCAGGTCCAAGTTGTGGATATACCATGTCCAGTGATGTGTATAATTCATAGTAACCTAGAAAGGATGAGCTGTTAGGGAAAAGGACCAGGAGATTCTATGATGTCTTTCTTTATATGATGGTAAATAAAAGCAAGGCCACAACGTATTCTTTAAAAGCAACTTACTGCTTCTAGTGTGTCTCAGGAAGTTGTCTGCTAAAGCTGCTGACTGGCAACTGCTGTCCAGCATCAAGAAAAAATGGCAATGGCCGTGGAATTTTGCTAAGAGTGTCGAGTGAAGTGCATCTCCAGATACCATGTGAGATGTTTTACCCCAGCCCATCCCGGTCACCTTTTTTGAACAAGCAAGATTAGTGACTGAGTGGGGAGTGGTTGAACGCTGCTGTCAGGTAACTGCCCAAATGGACTGAACACTTAGCAGTTGTTTGTAGTGTATGGCACGTGTGATTGCTGGAGCTGGGGGACTAAAGGAACTGCATTCCTGATCAGGCTTTTCTGGAGAGCACGAGAGTTAAGTTTTCCAGAGAATTGCTGTTGTCTGCCATCTTATTTTCCTGTCTAGAGCTCTATGATAAAGGTTTATTCTGGTTAAATATGAAGCAATAGCAGCTATAGCCAGAACCATGATGAGGAATTTTCAGACTCTCCTTAAAGTTAATAGGAAAGATTATTATGTTTTCCAGCTGTTGAAATGGCACAGAGGCTGGCAATTCATAAATTCATGGCTCTTAGAACAAAAAAGGACCTATCAACTCATGCATGGCCAGCTTTATGTCCAGCTTTAGGCTGTCAAAGCTTTTCATTGTGAGCTCCTTGTCCTCTTCTGTTTATTTTTAAAAGTTCTTGGCCATTCCCTCTTTAGGCTCTTTTTTACAGCATGACAAAAATGGTTTATGATATTTTCCAGAATCCTTTGTATTTTGTCTATGCTTTTATGCCACGTAATGTGTTTGGACCTGAGTGTATCCTATTTCAACATCCTGAATGTTTTTCCTCTCTTTCTTTGATGCTTACGTATTTGCAGGGATCTTTTGTTCATCCTTGGAAATAAAGTTGTACAGGGCCTTACTCAAGAAAGGCTTAATTTTCTTGTTATGTTCTGAGGCACTTCTCTTCCTGTGGTTTTTCTTCTTTTCAGAAGGTTGATGCAAAGATGAGTTGTGCACTCTTTAGGAAGAGCTTTGATCAGTCTGTGCGTTTGTAGCTGTAGAATGTGTTAATGTTAACTTTATTGGTCTTCTCTCCATTTTAAAGATCTGCTGTGTTTTGTTCATCACAGGAGAGAGTTACAGAAGTTCTAGGTGTATTTTGTGATAACTCTTGTTTAATGAAGGATATTTTCCTCCACTGTTTTCCATTCTAACACTCTCTAACTTATCTGTGAAATTTTAATGGATCTCACCTAAAAGGATGCATCTCAGTGTTGTTTCAGCATAAAAAATGTAAACCTCATTGCTTTGCCTTTAATTACAAGAGCAGAAACATTGACTGGGGAAACACCATCCAGTACAGCTGGTAATAACCACGACTGCTCCCAGCCTGTTAACCAGTGGCTTTGCTCTTTAAACCCAATTTAGATACATCAAGGAATATGGAGTTCCATGAAATACACAGCACTGGGAATGAGCCACCATTACTGCTAATGATCGGATACAGTGATGGAATGCAAGTCTGGAGCATACCTGTAAGTACCAGCAAACTGCTCTTGTATGGCAGAAGTGCCGTTGTTTGTAAGGTGTGCTATTACCTGAAGGTTTTAACTTTTCCTGCTGGAGTGGCTGGAGCCAATGTTCACCATCGCTGCTGTGTAAGGTGCGTGCTGAGCGTGGATCAAACTTGTAAATTCAAGCTCTCAGATCTAAGCATTTTTTGCAAATGATTTTTTAGGTAAATTTTCAGAGGCTAATTGGGAGCAGCATCTGGCACTGCAATAGTTTATGTCCTGGAAAGACAAATCTTTTTAACTTAGGGAAAGGAAAAGAGAGCGGAGAAATATGAAAGGAATTTGTTTGTCCTGGGAATGCAAGTATGACAGTATGAATGGTATTTTACAATCACAGTGTTTGTCATGTACATGATTTGCAATTTTAATTTTATTAAAGTCTATGTGTGCATATGGGTTTGATTTTATGCTGTCATCCACACCCTGCAGTTTGTGTTTCAGAATGGTTTATGAGCACATGGTCTTAATTTGGGGGAATTTCTCCCAAATTTCTTGAACTATGGAATAAAGTTTAATACAGTAGGTCATAAAATTCTTAACTTAAAAAAAAATATTGCTCATAACACCTTGTCCTTCAAAATAATGTAGTGAGGATGGAGTTCTTTCTCTTCATAAAACGTTAGGCCTTTCTGAAATATATATATTTCTGTATTATGTAATGGTTTGCTGTGTAAAAAGGGTTCGTATACCAGTAGCTTATATGGTAAAACAGAAAATGCTCTTATTTTGTGCACCAAAAAGTAGGCATGTCTAATTGAGTTTCCTAGGGTGTGGGAGAGCTGGCTTTTTCCCCCTCTTCATTTTGCATGTTGTTAGCTGGAGCTGAGGAAGAAAAAACTGCTGAACTTTTGCATTTAAGAGAGGATTTAATAGAAGGAAGGGCCTAGTATACTTCCAAGAGTAGTAAAGTGTAATTTAGGAGCTTCTATTCTTGTGTGTCTTGAGAAATTGTGACTAAATCTGATTTTCCTCGCTTTATTTTGGGATTTTGCCTTCTACTAGAGTTAATTGAATACTAAAAATTATTTTACAGTACCAAATTAGTTTTCTACAACGTTTTGAACACTGATCAGTTTTTAGATAGTGTACAGATGACAGAACAGGCTGTTAAAACAGTTCAGAAACTCATTGCTTTGTTCTTCAAAGTGTGTTACAGAAAACAAACATTAGGTGTCAGTAAGATACCGAGCTAAGAGAGGAAACAGGCCTTGAGCAGCACTCAGAGTTACGCTGCGAGCTGATTCCTTAAGGCAGTGAGCAGTCACTTAGATTTAAGCTAGAGAATTTGTGCAGAGCAGCTTAGTTTGTCGTGCTGAAGTATTCTTGCCCACGTGCATGTTTCCTGAAAAAGGGGTTGAGATGCACTGTGTTGGCACTGGGTTGTTCTGGCCGTGTGATAGAAGAGCTCTGTATCTGGCAGTCATAGGTAATTCTTTGTTTTGTGTGTGTGCCCTTACTCTGTGCTTAGGTGAGAGTTCTGTGCATCCCTCTGAAGTGGCTTTCTGTGTCTAAATGAAAGCGTGTCTTTGTGAAAGCTGTCTCTATCAGTGCTCCTGAGAAATTCACCCTGCAATGGCATCTTACAGGTGTGAAGAGAGCGAGAGTGAAAGAAGCAATGCGTCTCGTTTCTTTGATACATGAACACATTACCTCATTGTACCCTGTTCTACATTAACTGCCTGCATTTAAGCTCTTACCCCGTGGTTCACTGCATTAAGCATGAAATGATTTGATGGATCATACTAACAAATGAGGAGTTGAACTACTTCACGTTTATCCTGACTCATGTGAAGTAAGTGTGCTCCCTGGTCCTGACAGGTAGGCAGACGGGGTAACTTACCCAGTTTCCCAGTGGAAAAGGCCTTTTTTTCTTTTTTTGTATCTGAATGAGCCACAAGTGAGGCGACTGGATGCCTGATGTGACCTTTTGCAGGAGGGTTGCTGCTTAGTGCAGCCAGGTTGTATTTTCCCAGCGTGTTTCATTTCTTCGTAACTTCTACATTTTGGTAGTATTTCTTCTTTCAGAGGAATAAAGAAAATGAAATTGCAAGGAACTTACTGTAGTTCATTTCTTGCAGAGGTGTTTTTCATGGGTGTGGGGGAAGTCTGATGAATTGGAAGAAATTTGCAACTAAGGAAATATTGTACCATCCATCTTAGAAACGTGAGCTGCAGAGGCAGCACGGTGCCTTGTTTGTTTAACCTGTGAAACTGGAAAAATGCATCCGAAGGGGGAAGCGTCGTCTTGTGCAGTGCTGCAGTCTGCGTGTGTTGGTGTAATGCCAGTGCTGGGATGGGTTTGCTGTTAGTAGCACAGACTTGGATAGCTTCTCAGATTGATAGTCTTTGATATCGGTTTTTAAATATCTTCTCACATCTTATCTTACCTGATAAGCTTGGAGGTAGCACAGCCTGTATTTATCCATGCTTGTATTTCTCCATCTATTTTTTCCTTACTTAGTCCAAGTAAAAGAAAATCTGGCAGTGGAGCTGCTGACTTAATAGTTAGGGTGTATTTGACAGTGCTTTGGTACTATACAAATGCATCTCTTCTTCTTGATCTTGCTGAGTGCTTAGCTCGTTATTACACAACATTATTCCAGTTATTAAGAATAAAATAGAATCTCCATAGTTTAAAAACCTTTCAGTCTGAAAAAGCAACAATTTGACATTTCTCTGAAAATCTCCTCAGTGAGGCTATTATCTGTAGCATTGTGCTATTTATTTGTACAATTGAGCCTCTATTCAGCACTTAATAAAATAATGTGTTGCAGGCAGCCCGGTTTGTGTCTGAGTGATTATGAAGTGTTTATGACAGCTCCTAAGCTGACACTCGCCGTAATGGTGTTACATTGACTTCTGAACACCTCGCAGGCTGCCTCCAGGAGTGTGTGGCTCTTTGCAGTCTGAGTGCTTTCACATTAACATCTCCTTGGAGTAAGATCTTTGACTACAGAAGTGTTACTTGCAAATGGAAGATACCATTAGGGCTGCTTCAAAGGGCTGGAATAGTGTTTGGACTGCTGGGTGCTGAAGTAACGGCTGGGGTTTTGAAGTGCAGAGTCTCAATCTGTATTGCATAAGAAGCGGAAGGTGTCCATCCAAGCGACTTTTCTTTGATCTTTGTTTTGAAATGGGGGTGGGAAGGTTGAAAGTGCTCTTAAAATATGCCTCCCTGAGTGGGGAGAAATCTGGGAATATACAAAAGTATGAGTAGAAGTTCCTATTTGATAATTGTGCCGTGTACTTTCTTGTTTTATTTGGACTTTGTTTTTCCTTCGCCCCAGTTTCACGTTTCAAATACAGTTGGAACTGGTCGTTGCCTAATGTGGTTTCCAAGTATCTGTTCTAGATGTTCCTGCTCAGTGAAACTCATGTTGGCTGCTTTTGTGGCAGATAATTTTTTTTTCATTGTATGCTGAAAGTTTCAGAAGTAGAAAATCATTGTAACGTAATGGTTCAGATTACACTTAAAAAACAAAATAAAAACTCAGCTATGAAGCTCAGGTTGAACAAAATAGAAAATGCCAAAGGGAAACTGATAATAATGGCAGCTGTCTGTATAGCAAGCTGTGAGAAATTGAGGTATTTTCTGTTATTACACTCATTAAGTGACTGCAAATCTGATGGTGGTTTTTTCATTTATGTCATAACCTGCACTTGTGGGAGAAAAAGGAAAGTGCACGCAAAGAACTTGAGAGTGCTGCAGAGAGAGGTGTTGAAAGAGACCAAGCAGCATTTCATGGAGCTGCCCTTGGATGGGGTCAAAGCCGAGATGAAGGCTCACTGATGCAGTCTGTACCCACGTCCTGCCTGTGCCCAATATTGTTTGTGCTGTTCCTGTGCTAGTGCAGAAATGAAGCCATTAAAAAGAAACAAGAACTGTCTCCCAAATTAGGATTTCACAGGGAGCCTGCAGTCTGATTGTGCTGAAGCTCCTTGAAATGTATGACAAATAAAATGAGAATATTGAGGACATTGTAACCGTTACTGAGCTTTCAGTGCTTTTTAAATTCAATTTGTATTGTCATAATTTTAAATGATAGATGCAGTTTGGTCACTTGAGTAGACTTGTGTAACTCTCTGCACAAAGTTCTCATAATTTATAGATAATCAGATGTTCTGAATGAGAAGGGTGATTGCTTCAGTTTCTAAACTGAAATAAGAATTCTTTATTTTAGAATAAAGATATTTAGAAATATTTAGATATATTCTTTATATAGAAATATTTAGATATATTTAAAATATTTAGAAATATTCTTTCTCACTGTCTCAGCAAGATGACCAGCAGGGCTCTATCCCAGCAGGATTATGTCCAGCACAAGTTTGCAGTGGTTTCAGTCATTGCTTATTGGCACATTACATTGCTGTATTAAAGGTATACACCTGGAATTTTAAAACAGCAACAGAACAACAAACAAATTGATGCTGATCCTCCCTGTGCCTTATGACATTTTATTAATATACTATCAGTTTACTTTTCCTCTATTGCACAGTAGTTTAAGCATTGGCTTTCAAACTTTGCTTCTGTTTGGTGTACGTTTGGCTGTTTTCATCATGTGAAAACCATTTTCTATGGCTGAAAACTGTTAGTTATCCTTAATGTGAACAAAACTTTCTTTGTTCTTATTTTTTTTCTTAATGGGTGCAAACTGGTGTGCTCCAAATGATAAAGCTCTGCCATCAAAAATTAAGCAGTGCTCCAGATTTCTGGTAGGTTGTGTTTTAAGCAGTAGTTGCACCTGGAGGAGAGGATTCATCTTGTTCTTCCAATCTGTCCTGATTGGAAGTGAGTGATGAAGGCTTCATTGGGGCTGCATTTTGGATTGCTGTGTTCTTTGCTTGCTGCCTCCCACGTTGGTCTGTGGGCTGTGGTCTGGTACTGGGCGCTGCAGAAGCTGACGTGTGCTATCGGACCAGCTTGGAGCCGTCATCTTGGATCCACTCTTCTACAGAATGAGTGCCTGATGCTGCTTTTATAGCATAATATTCTATTCTTGAAACCTGTTTGGAAATAGTCTTGGCTTGTGGAATGGGAAAGAAAAACTTTCAGGAGCTTTGAAAGCTGCCACAGGGACTCGCTACTTAGCTGGATGAAATCCAAAATGGCAGCCACAGCCTATTTTCTTCACAGGTGCTTTCTGAAGAATTTAGAGCTCTGTTTTCAGTTCGTGAAGTCTATTTATGTTTTGTCTATGCTTATGAGACTGTGTGGCTCAAGGGTCTGGTAATGAGGGATGTGGAACCTTTTACCTTAGACTTGCCAGCCCACATCTTGGCCAGAGTGGCAGTGACAAAGCTGTTGGCCATTCAGCGGTGTTTGGCACATGTTAAATGTAGTTATTTGTCATGCTTTGATTTAGTGCAGTGAGTGTCCTGTTTGAGGGACAGGTTGGCTGTCAGCTGTCCCATCAGACAAAGCCTGAAGAGGCAGGAAGATCAAAATTTCTCAGCCCTGAAGATGCTGCTTTTAGCCAAGAGTGATACACGTGGCCTCCACAGTGGTAATTGTGTTCTATGTTTTAGATACAACAAAACAAAGGGTGTTTTATGTAAATGGTGCTAGCATTAACTGCAGTTAATTTTGAATTGTGTAAGACTGCAAATAGCAGAAGCTTCTGCAGAGAATATTTTAAAAAAATAATAATTAATTGCATGTCAAAGAAAATCTTGAACTCTAAAGCCTTAGTGCATTTTTCAGTGCCCAGCAAACCTAAGGGGCAACCAGTACTTCGTAGCTCATGGCATACGTTGAAGTCCAATGACTTCCAGAATTTTCTGTTCCTGTAGAGCAGTTAAGGATGTAAGATTAAAAAATAAAAACAAAGTCCTTGCAAAAATGTTTCCTTTATGATAGATTCCTAAGAAGTGATGTTATAAACTGATCCATGTTGTTGTGTGATGTGCAGATTTCTCATCTCTTTTGCTGTCCATCAGTATGACTTTTTCTGAACAAAGGAGATGTCAGGGATTGGGTGGCATCTTGAATTTTCATTGCTCAGTCTCCAGTTGTGGCTTATCTTAAAATATCCTTTCTTTTGGCACCCTGAATAACATGCTGAGTATGTGAGCTATACTGATGACTGAGCCCACCTGAACTTGCATCTGTCTACAATGTCCTCTTCCCTGGGGAAAGGCCCTGTGCACTGAGAGGAAAGAACTACAGCAGTGATGCTGAGTTAGGAGCTAAATACTTAGAACCTTTGTCACCAGCTGAGTCTCATAGCTTTGGTTGGTCTGTTCATTTTTTCTTTCTGTTGCTCCTGCCAGCAGAAAATAGTGAAGTAGTTACCTTTCAAGTGATGAATATTAATTACTGAACACTAAGAATTATATCCACGAAAAGAGCTGGCTCAAATTTTGGTGTTGTGTGTTAAGGTACAAAGAAACTTCATTTGTATTTATGCACTTTCAGGCCTTTCTGTGAAAACCTCATATTTAAGCTCTGCCAGGTCTTGGCATCCACAGGTTAAATAAACGCGCTTTCTGGACTTCAGTATATTTAAGAGCAGCAGCTTGGTTAAGCAGGTTTGGCCTTCTTAGTGTATCTTACTTTTGGGACTACAACTGTATTTGAAGTAGATTGGAGTCAGAGCCAGTGTGCTGGCATACTTAAAAAGGAGGGGACTGAATTGGGTTGGATTGTTTTATATGAATCACTTATTCCGTGCTTTTGTTATGCTAGTTCTTTTCCCTCTTGTTTTCATTCATAGCCATTGATGTGCGTACGCATGTGAAACAGCATTTTCATGATTTGGAGGAAAAAACCTTTAATTGCCAATAATAATAGTTCCAAAGCCTTCTGTTTTTCTTCTTCTCCATTTCCTCCTTTCTTCTTTCCCTGTGCTGCTGTGTTCCGATGAACAGAAAGCCTGTTCTTTTCATCTCTCTCACTTTCTGCTTTGCAGTGCTCTACTTTTCTCAGTCGTGTTCTCAGGATGCAGAGGTGCTTCCCTCACCCGCATTTCAAACTCGTGATCAGTTAAAAATAATCAACAAGTCTTTAAGGAGTTGATTTCTGATCTTATTTTCTATATCTGATCTAGGATCTGATCAGTAAGGTTCTCAGGGCAGAGCCTCTGGCTGTCCCAGAGGCAGAATTCAACCTGTTTTTTTCACAAGCTGGGGTGCTACAGGGCTGTGTGTTGTTCAGGTGCTGCTGCTCACTGGGAGAGCAGTGTGATGATACCAATGTCAGCCTGGTAAAATAAGAGCAGAATAGTAGGCTAAGGGGTTAGTTGTCATATTGATTACAGTTTTAAAACTGTCTTGTCCATCAGGAATAATTCTAATCATGTCATTGACGCTAATTGACACCGCTGTGAAACTGCTAGATGCATGCAGAGTCCGAAATGGCAAAGAAAGGTATTTCCCCAAGCTTATTGGGCTGTACTGTGGCTTACTGTTACAGAATGGTCAGCCATCTCTGTATCAGTGGTGTTTTCAGAATATTCTTTGGGAAGATCTGCTTGAGTGGGGTGAGCTTCACTGCTGTGTAAAGCAGTGCTGGTAAGGAGTTCGGCTTGGTGGTGAGCTGAAGCTCTGGGGCGCTGTGCTTTGGTTTGTTGTCAAACAGTAGCGGAATGTTGACTTGTTGAATGTGTGAGCTGAAGTGTAGAAAGAAATGGGAACAGCTATGAAATGACATTTCAGAAAGCAACTTGGATTTATAGTTCAGTAATTCCTAAGAACCTTGTTTCAAATTGTGTTCGTTTCTGATATTCTAAGCTGCTTGCTTGGCAAAACTCTGTCCAACATGTTTGCTACGTTCTTAGCTTCCTTCTGTCTGTTTTAAGTTGCTGGTTGTTCGGAAACGAGTTTCATTATGTTTGCCATTTTCCTCAAGTTTGACATTCTGCATTGCATCCATTACCAGGCAGTTATGAAAATGCATTCTGACTGACCACTTAGAGGAAGTCTGGAAATTTTTCTTAACTACCTCTGATTTAATCTTTTCAAGATTGCTATTAGTGACAAACTTAATTAGTTTGATCCTTCTGCAATTATGGAACATAATTTTCACACCTGGTGAATATGGAATATATGTATATATCAAAAACCCTGAACTTCTATTGTCAGTGTTTGCCACTCCTCATCACTGGCTTTCAGTAGTTTTTTTTTGTTTGCTTGTTTGTTTTTAGAAGTACACACTGTGCAGAACAAATGCTGTGTTGCATACATGTGTACCTCCTGAGGTTTGGTTAGTTGGAGCCATCAGTCAACTTCAAGTGTAGTCTCCTCAAATACGGAGACATTCCTAGCAATAGTGCTAGGATCTCATTCACACACAAGACCCGTGTTTCTAGGGGCAGGCTTTGTTCCTGTGGACTGTGTTATTGAAGGCTTCCAGGATATATTCATGTTCAGTGAAGTTGTGGGTGGTTGGTAAGAAGAACAATGTCTTTCCTGCCTGCCTGCCATACACTGTGAAATCTTGATTCAGCTAGTTGATCGCAATGGAAATTGCTCAGTAAGGGGGAAGAGACAATACGAGCTTGCACCATCTCTGGCACACTTCTTGTTCCTCTGATCTGAGCCTTCCTGTACCACCACAGTTGCTGTTCATCTAAAGCAAGTCCAACAAATAGGATTTTTGTATCAAAAGTCAGCTAAGAAAGTTGGTTAAGTGAGTGTAATATGCTAGTATGGGTTTTGTTGTGCTAGATTAGAGGTGTTTACTCTGATGTTACTGTGTAACCAAAGAAACAAATCAGAAAGCTGGATTTGTCAGTTTTTCAAGGAAAATTGCACATTGGAAAGCTTGTTGGGTAGATGTGTCATTATCCAGCTCCTATGAGATATCACTTGTTGGAGGGAGAAAAGAAATTTTGGAATATTTCTGAACTGACCTTCTGCCTCTGTGGTTTCTTCCCTTGAGAATCCTGTCTGTTTTCAGTATGTGTCCATTACATTCAGTGCTTATGCTCTGAAGAGTTTTACCTGTTGAATAAAACAGCAGCCCCCCGAATTAAGATGCAGATTTCAGTATTCAGTAGCTTAGTGGGAATCCAGTTTATTTTTCACACGATTGTGGCTTCTTAAGAATCGTTTGTGTTCTCATGGTTTGAGCGTTGAATGTTTCAGATGGAAAGTTGTCTGTATGGCAGTTTGATTTTGAGAGAGCTGACTGTGGAAAAGAACAGTTTGTTGTGGGGAATGTATTTTGTGTGTGTGTGTGTGCATGTGTGCTTTTATATGTGTATGTAGGCTTTTTTACATTGTACACTCATATCTGTATGTTTTGCAGATCAGTGGTGAAGCTCAGGAACTCTTTTCTGTCCGCCATGGTCCAGTTCGAGCTGCACGGATCTTACCAGCCCCACAGATCAGTAAGTATATTTCTAAATGGCTCAAAATAATCCATTATGTTTAATTATGTTATGTAACTTTTGCTTGAGCAGAACATACAGGACACATCTATATAAGGTTGTGCTTTATAAAGAGCACAGTGTTGTCTCTAGGCAAGAGTTAAAATTTATTATGGGCTAATGCTGTTTGAAGTAAAATAATTTACAAGCTTTTGTGCCTTTTGAGTTGTTTGGAGGAGCACTGTGTAATTTTTGTCCAGCTATGATTATTTGCTGATGTTTGTCACTACATGATGGATGGTTGTGCCTCTTCCTTCTCAAAGGAAGAAAAAAGAGGTGTTGATGGGATTGAAGTAATCAAAGTACCTACAAGCTCTTTTTTTTCCTGATGGCAAAATAGTGCTTTTTGATTTTCAGTCTAGTTTGTAAGAGTAACACTTTGTTACTCTTTTTCTTTCTCTAAATGGCATATATAGCATTTGACAATGATATTTGTTACATTAGAAAACTATTCAAATTAGCTCATATTAAATCAAACCTTTTAAAAACATGTTTTGGTCTCTTTTTACATAGCTTGGTTTAAATAAATCTTTGATTGAAAGTACATGAATGTATCATTGACCAGTATTTGGAATCAGATAAAAGTAAAGCTGTAATAAGAGGCCTTAGATAACTAACACATGAGCTTTAATGATTCAAAATAAAAGGAATTTGTAAAGGAGAAGCTGATTATTATCAGTAGGCTGAAGCACTATTTTACTGTAAAGCTGCAAAAAGGGAGTTATTGAAAGTGGGGCTCTCTGAGTGGATGCATTTGGCACGTTCCTAGAAACAGATCTTAGTTTGTGATAAGGAACTCATTCCCAGGTGTGAAAGGAAAGCTTATGGTTTTAACGTGGTGGCTTTACAGTAGCAGAACTTAATAGTTTGTCAACTCTTCTGTTAAAATGCTGTAGTCTTTTGATGTTAGATTCTCTGCTGCATCATGTGCTTCACAGCATAATGAGGCGTTGTTTGAAAAGAGTTATTTCATGGAGGCTTACTGCAAAGGAGGCTGCCGATCTGATGTAACAGGTTACAGGCACTCCTGGGAGCCTTTGCACGCTGCCAGCTCGGGTCCACAGTGCTGGGTGAGTCTCTGTGCCGTGCTGGACAGCTTGGTGGCTCCTGGGAGTGCTGTGGCCTGGCTGCAGCTCTGCAGTGCTTTGTCTGAGTTAACAAAGCAGGAGGCCTGACCCTGCCCTGCATTGCAGCACTGGTGTAACTGCGGTGTGGCTGGGCTGCAGCCTGGAGAGGATGTCCATAAAGAATTGAGAGCTTGCTGTAAATAACACTGGAAAATGTAGGCACTTACTCTTCTCTGTGGACCTGCTATACATCACCCACAAAATTTAGGGTCAGGAACAGTGAGAGAATTTCTGTTTCTGATTCCCCTGAGGTTCACCTTGAGGTACCTAAAGCATAAGTAATTGGATGTAGCAGTTGCTACATTCAGCCTTTTCCACGATTCTGCAGTAATATTGTGTTCTAGGTGATTGTCTCCAACCTCTTTCTTCCACTGCACTGGGCACAGGTTGCCTGATTGTGAGGCAGCAAGGATGTGATGGCTGGGGGAAAGGAAAAGGCTTTTGTCGCTTGTGCAAATGAGAAACATTTTTGATCAATGATTCAAAGTGTACAAGAATCCCATTGACACTAGGAAGACTTTAAATTTCTTCTAATAGTGAGATAACAGCTATTAAATATTTTATGATGTTGTATTTGATCGTTGTAAACTCCTTGTTTTTATTGTGAATGAGATGCTTGCACTATCACAGGAAAAGAACAGCGTGCAGACAGTCCTTAGGGGCAGGCTGCAGGGCAGGGCTGGGCAGAAGGGATCATCAGAGATGGCATTTTCCAGAATTGGTGATGTCTGTTGCTGTCCATAGTGAGGATCAGAGAGTGGACATCGTTCATAATGAAAATGACAACCAGTATGGTGTGAATTTGACCATTAGCCATGCTTGCCTGCTCATTCATAGCCGTTGTTCAACATCTTTTCTAATTTCTCACCTCTTTCTCTGGATGTTGTTGTTCTTGTCTTCCTGGGGTAACTGATTTCACGAGTGGGAATTGTTGGGTTGAAATGATATGAAGTTTGTATGTTGAGGTTTCTGACTTGAGTATTCCTAGGTTTGCCTTGTGGTTGGTTGGTTTTTCTTTTTTGTTTGCAGGTTTGTTTTTTATTAGTATTTCTGTGATTACTTTCAGAAATGATATTTGCTTTTTGTTGTATGTTCTTTGGCTAAAGAAGTCATTTAAAAAAAAAAAAAAAAAAAAGTTCCAGAACTTTTCCAGCATTTAAAAAAGTATATATTTTAACATTTTTGGGGTAGTATTGCTTTGTGAAGTGCTATGGTCTGCCATTTGTCTTTATTTAACTGAGGTCGATTTAAAACATCTTGGCCAACTACCGGCTTTGTGCCTTGTGCTGTTCTGCTTATTTGGATAGACTTGTTTAGCTCAAAAGTCAACCAAGAAAATAGTGCTGCTTAGTAAGGGCAGTCCAAAGCTGAGTACTGGAATGGCAGCATGTGTGCTAATTCATGGTTCAGGTGTACGTGATGACTGGTTTGTGTATTGAAGTTCAGGTCAGTCATTATCTGTAAAAGCCTATTGCTGTGTCTCAGCGTTATGAGAATAAATCCCTCCATTGAACTGAATTAATTTACTGCCCTAATGTAGATTATGCCACTTCTAGAAAGGGTGATAGCATAGTCCTACATTTTGCAATGAGTTGATGGTTTGGTCAAGTTGGCTGATAAGACAGAAAAATAGAGCTAAGAAAGGAAAGAAAAAATAAACCAGAGGTTTTGTCTGAAACAGCAGTGACCAGAGGGAACCTCATGGACAAAGAGCTGAAGACTAGAATTAGCATGAAAAACTACAATTGGGACACAGTTAGGACACAGACTAGCTTTGCAGTTCAAAATCTAAAGCAGTAAAAGTTCCAATTCAGCAGATTGATCTCTGCTGTGTACTGCTTACGTATTTGATTTTGTTAAAATAAAATTTGAACCTCAAAAGCTGACTCAGCTTTATGTGCAGGTAGACTTAAAAGAATGGTAATAGTAAGGTTGCTTTCTAAGGGAATGCAGATGTGAGTCTTAGAGATGTTCAGCCACTTGGGTGGCTTGGTGGTTTTAAGTCCTAGAAGGCAAAATAATTGCACAGGACGTGTGGTGGAGGAACTACTCCTACGAGCTGAGCAGGCAGTAGCAATTTGTAGCTGGGTTTATGTTGGTGTAATTGGGTCATGCAGGTGTGCGTTCAAGTTTGGCTGTTTTTTAACTGTTACATATATTGTTATGGTGTAATGAATGTTAATGTTGGTGGATTACAGAAATTACAGAACAGAGTTCTGAAGCAGAGGAAGTAACCCTTTTAATAGATGCCTTTGGGAAGAATTGCACAGCATTTGGAAATGCTGATTTCTCTGGAGCTGTGTGGACTGACCCCCATACTCCCATTTCTGTTCTGGTGACATTGCATTGATCCTTTAGGCCAGCAGACCTGAAGCCTTCACCACGTTACACTGCTATGTCTTCTAATTTTTCCTAACAGGATTCGATCAAATGAAATACTCCCATCTGTCTTCAATTAATGTATGACTCTCAAAACTTTGATCTCTCACAAATGTTTCACAGCCGTCTTTCATTTTTGCATGCAGAATGGACTTAGTTGTCCAACAATAAAGCTGTTTGCAGAAGAAGACAGAAACAAATTTTTATCAATGTGTGCAGCTCTGCCTCTTTGACCAAAATCTTTGATGTTGATGCTGAATTTTGAACCACTGTAGCTTATTAGTGATGGATACTGACATTCAGCTGGAGAGGCAGGGGGCTGTAGGGTGGTAATGTCCGAGGGATGTGGGAAGCAGATCTGCTGCTGCAGGTACTGGGGCGGCGTGCTGATACTTGAAGTATCTGGGTGATGCTGGAAGTGGAGGGAGATACAGTGATGTAGTCTGGCACAGAGGTCCTAAAGGAGCACCTGAAGGACGAGGACTGGAGTCACAGCCCCTTTTTTCTTTCTGCTGAATGGAAGGAGCAAAATAGGGAGTGAAAGCCATAGGTAGTGAGTGCCAAACGTGTGGCTTCCTGCGTTCCCGTGTACTGCTGATGTGGGGCAGGACTGGAAATGCAACCCAATTCTCAACTGACAGAATAAAAAGGGTCTGATTGAACAGGAGATGCTCTGTGTTGTTGAATTATCTCAATCACTGGAATCTCATACCAGAAAAATACACTCCATCATGCATGCATGCTATTACTAAATAGGTCAGAATTTGACTTCTAAGTGGGGAATTTCTTGCTCAAGGGAACGAGGGTGCTTTTCATGGTTTTTAATTGGCTTTTGAGCTCCTGTGAAAATCGGGGGGATTTCTTTTTCTTTTCCTCACAGGTATTGTTGTTGTTGGCATTACTGCAGGCCCAGGGGATGGGATGGCTGCTCACACTCCCAGCACAAGCACCGAGCATGAGCTGCTTGGAGCTTACGTGTGGATAAACTTTTGACTTTGTTAAGTTCTAAATGTTGATCTGGATGAAATGACATCTAGCTGCAGATATTGTTTGTTTTCAGCTTAAAGTACACCAACTGAACTGATTTTTTTTGTTTTTTTTAAATAAAGCACAAAGAGATAATTTATCTAAATGGAGCTGTAGATACGGTGGTGCCTGTTTAGCAGGAAAAAAAACAGTTTTCATTACTTTAATTGTGTGATTTGTCAGGATTTCCAGCTTTTTTATAAATGCTGCAGTGTTATATGACAGAATTAAAAGGATTTAGAATAAAAGGAGTTTAAGAAAAAGACTTTGCAACAGGATTTCAATACTTTTTGTATTTGAGGGATTTAGCTAGCTGCTTTTCATTTCAATCATCCTGCTGCATTGGGTTAAACACTGTGTGCAGCAGGTGTGTACAGCCTCAGTGCATTGCACATGCAAATAAACACAATTTTACAAATAAAAATTAATCCACCGCAACTTGGAAGATTAAATTCCAGCCCTGAACTGAATGGGTTTGCTGACTCCATTAAGCGCCGCAGAGAGCAGCACGCGGTGCTTTTTGCAATCTCATGACCAGAACCGCTATTAACCTGATTTAATGCCCTGCAGAGTCCTCAAAATAATGATCCTTTCCTGGAGTATTAATGTTTACGTTTCCAAAGTATGCAGTTAAGGTAGAAAATGCATTTTTAAAAAATGAGGGCTTTGGCCATTGCAGACTGAAGCAGGAGTTCCAGCACCTGTTGTGCAAATCTTGCAAAGCTGTTCTGTGGGTATTAAAACGGGTGCTGCTGTTTTTGTGCTGCTGTTTCTGTGTGTTCACGGCCACCTTTCTTACCCTTCATCCCTCTTTCTTGTTGTTTAACTTAGAACCAGACCAGTAATAAACAGGAATTTGCCTGTCTGATATATCCTAGTTAAAAAAAGAAAAAAGAAAATGTAGTTAAATGCTTCAGGTAAACTCCTGTGTCCACTTAAATCAATGTCGGCGCTCCCAGTAGCCAGCATTTGTCAGCCTTTCTCCATGAAGGCTGGAGAGCAGCAAGGTGAGCCGAAACAAACGGAGTTGGGCCGGTAATGGATCGCAGTAAACAAATTGGTTGCCAGATTCTTCAGAAGAATCTGTATGTTTCATTTATCAATTCACAGGTCAGTACATGCAGTACAGGTCTGACTCATGAAAGACCTGGAAATAATAGGAATAAAAGGAAAATATGTTTGGCTGTTTTGGGTTGCTTGTAAAGCTATTGTTGGTGGTGAAATTATTGATGTGACCCATTTAACTTTGTAAATACCCCCATGTGTAGGAGGGACGCCTTCTCCTTGTGTAGATGAGAGCTCTGGACAGTTACAAATTAATTGCATGTACCTGAGTTATTAATAATTAACAGAGGCTGTTATGTGAAAATGTATATTGTTAATTGTTGTGCCTTTCTGAATAATTGATTTGGTGCAGCTACACCAGTATCTGGGAATTAGTTTGGAGCACTGACATTCTTTGTAGATCAAAAGGTCTGATGTACAATGAAGACCAAAAAAAAAGTCCACACCTACAGATGGAGATAAAGACAGATAATTGAAAAGGCAAAGGCTGAAAGAAACTGGAAGAAATTCGCTGGTCATGGTGTTGCTCTGTTTCTGTTTTTCAAGTTGGATTGGAAACATACCCTGAAATTTAGTGAAACTTTGTTACAAAGATATGTTTTCTACTCTGTTTGATTTGTGTTTCCTTATCAGTAAGATGAAGTTTCCAAAACTTTTAAAGTCCCCTTGTAAGAATAGCAGCACATTTAACAGTGACAGCTCTGGAGTCAGGGTGTAAGTGCAGCTGGGCAGCAGCTGCCCGCTTCTGGTGACAAACATGCAGGCAGAGCTGTGCCAGCTGTACCTGTGAAGCTCTGCTCCTGGGTGCCTTACGTTGGGGGTGCTGTCACCAGGTTGCCTGTCCAGAAGCTGAAGTTCCTTGGTGCCATGACTGTTTTGAATTCAATCCTGTATTTTCTGAGATGGGTGGTGTGGGGTGTCAGCATGGCCCTGCTAGGGCAGACACCAGCAGCATGCCTTGTAACAGAGAAACATGAGGGTGTCTGCTCTTCCACTGCATACTTATGGTTAACTCTCCTATATTCCACTTACACCTCAGTAGAATAGACGGGAAACCAGTGTGGGAAACCCACACAGAGCTGGTGACAGTCTTCTTTCAGGCAACTTCTGTTAAACAATGAATAGCTAGCAGATGTTACTTGTCATTCTGTAGTTACAGAATTCTTTACCCCAACTGGAAAAAACAGAAAACAACTACGAAATCCTGGCCATGTTGTGCTGCTCGTTTTGTTACTGCCTTCAAAAACAGCTCTCCCACTGTTTGTTGCTCTGCCTGTTCGTATTTCTATTACTAATCTTGCACAGGCTGTCAAGTTTTCCATTATGTATTAAATATTCTGCAGTATATTGCCTCCCAGCCCCAGTGCACAGGTACTATGAAAGGTGGCACAAATGATGTATGGTGACTTGCTTTTTCTTGTTTGCTTTCTCTTTCACTAGATGCTCAGAAATGTGACAATTTTTCGGAGAAGCGGCCTCTCCTTGGTGTGTGCAAAAGCATTGGATCTTCAGGGTAAGAATATTTTTTTGTGAATAAATTTGTGTGTAGATTGCAATGTCATCTGGAAATACGGAAGTAAACAATTATATCTTATAGTTCTGTACTGTTTTTGCTCACAGAATAACACTGCAAATTGCTTTCAAAGTTTTTTTCAGTGTGTCAGCACACATTTGTGTATTACTTTGGCTGTATAAAAAGAGTAAAAAAAAAAATAATCTTGATATAAAATGGACAAAAAGCTATTTAATTTTGTTCCAGTAGTCACAAGTTTATGATAATAAAGCCTTTTCTGATAATAATACTAAAGAATTATTATTCAGAAGTGTCTGAAGCAATCTTTGTATCTTGAAAAGCAATTGGAAGATGCTTTCAAGCAGTGATTATGTTCTGGATGAATTACGTGCGCCAACCAACCTCAGTGTTACAGATGTTCACTGCTTGTGATCAAAATCTGTGTTAAATCTACTTTGAGTTAGTGAATTAACAGTCTTGTTGTATGCACTCCGGACACTATTGTTGCATCACTCAAAAGAGCCTTACAATAGTTCATGTCCCTGTTAGTTACACTGTTCAGTGCTAAGGATTTACACCTATGCCTAGTGGAAAATATTTGCTTTTCAAAGGTAATCCTCTACACCCATGCAAAGGCTAAAGAGTTGAAGTAAATCTTCTTACAACAGTAAGACTAATTCTGTGCCACACTTTTTTTTCTTTAAGAATTTAATCACTCTGGGTGTGAAGCATGACAGTCGGGTCTCTGTAATTTCCTAAGGACACTTCTCACTCTGTTGGACTAGAATATTAATATTACTCCTCTTAAATCTTTAAAACAAAAACTGTGTGGGTTAGAGAGATACAATTTCTTTCAGTAGAGATTTTTACAGCTGCCAACACTGTTCATAGGGCCTTTTTTCCCCTGAAGTGTCTGCAATCTTGTGAACAACATTTCCTACATGAGCGTGCGTGTAACCAAGTCTTGCGATGCAAAATTTGTTATGCTGATGCATTTAAACTACATGGTCCTCACTGCAAGATGAATGAGGTTGGACGTGGCTGTGGCAGTGAGTCAACGTCTCTGCAAAGTGTACTTTCAAAAAAAAAACCACATTTCAATAAGTGCAGCTCCTGTCCTGGTGTGGAGAGTCCATCCCCGGACACCACGTGGTCGTTTTTTTAGGTGAGGAAAATATGGCCTTGTGAAATGCCTGTGCTGCTTTCCAGAGCCCTCTGGCTCGTTTCCATTCAGATTCCACCTGGGATGCTGTCATTATATTGTCATTACCATCTAAATTGTCTTTTCTGTGACATTTATACGGTATTTGTTTTCTGTAGCTCTTCTAGGAAGTGTTTTGAAATTGTTGTTTTTATGGATGAATGTTGAAGAATGAATGTATTTAACACCTGACTTATGATTTCATAAGATTTTATCATGAACTTCATTGCAATTTAGCAATTTCTGTACATTATCACCTTAAGAAAACCTGTGTTTTGAAGAGCAATTAAATATAAGTGTATATGCAGTACTGTGTGACAGATAAGCAATCATACTTAAATGAATTGACATCTTTTGTGATTTTAGGGAATCGTGCATCTATTAAAATGCATTAAATGTTTTGAGAAATTTAAACATCTGCATCTATTGAAATTGCGTGAGGAAGTTTCAAGTGTTTAGGATGTTAAACCATTAAAGCAATATGAATTTAATAGGACATAGTGCAGTGGATCTAGATATAAACCATCTTTTCATAATGGCATTTAATAGTACTTTATCTTTAGGGCTATATCAATGAGATACTGACACGTGTGAGTTAGGAGCTGGGACTTCCTGGTTCTGACCACTAGTCTGCATTAGTGGTTGCTGTCAGGAAATTCTTCTCTTTTCCTTTAGCTGTAAAGTAGCTTAACTATAATGAGGAAAATAGGTTAAAAAGGTATTTTTTAATGCCGAACGTTAATCAGTCTGAAATACAAAGAATTTTCAAGTTATAATTAATTAGTAGCTTCAAAAACACCACCAGTATTAAATAACTTCACTACTTTCTCTTATGTACTATGTACCTTATTGGAAAGAGACGTAATGAATAAAGTTTGAGATGCAATGCTAGGTCTTCTTTCCTTTGTTATGAAATACAGGTAGGTACACAAGTTTTATGCAAAACAATCTTTGCCTGAAATCAGCAAACTTATTTTTCAATCTTGACTTTTTTTTTACTGTCTCACAGTGGAAGATTCCTTTGGTAACTTATTTCTGGCCTGCTACATTTCAGGATCTAACAGAGCTTAGCAGACCTCTCTGCTTTTAAAGTGAAGTGGTGATTTGTTAACGTCCCCTACAGAGCCTGGTGTTATGTGGGGAAGGACTTTATTTGGAAATAAAGGAGGATAAAAAAGAGAGTAAAAACATGTATACCCTTTTGGTGATAGGGATCTTTTTTGTAATAAATGTGTTTGGACTGAAGTGGTAAAGCTGTTTTTGTGCTAAACTGAAGAAGAACTGTTACACTGAAATTGATTTCTGGCACCTACTTTTTGTAGAAGTGCTGTAGTAGTGCCACTAATCTCAATCTTTGTATTCCTGGTGACAAGTATTTTACCAGGGAAGTAAAATTTTGTGTTTTCTATGCTTTTTGCCTTATATCTAAATTTCTGACTAGCTTTCAGTACATACATTTTTGTATTTTAGAAGTCAGATTTTCCATCGATTAAAATGACTGAAATGTCTAGCATGATTTCACTATATAATCTTTTTGAAATAAATTTTCTCAGCCCCCCAGAAGGATGCAGCCTTGACACATAAATGGGAAACAGATTGTGTTTTTTGGCCAGTGCTGCATGCTGGTTTAGATGTTGGTTCAGTCAACTTCGGTCTTAGATTACAAGATTTGCAAATTAAAGGAAAACCAAAAAGGAAAGAACATCTGCATAGATTTTGTCTTTGTGGAATTTTGTCCAGCCATGCTTATTTTGTTCTTGCTGATAGGATCAAGGCCAGTTGAGGCCTATCCAGTAGGTCAGTAGGCTTCCTAACCTTGTGCTTATGGAGAGCGGAAGACTTCATTCACCTGACTGAAATCAGCCAGCCCGTAAAACATGTGCTCGGTTTTTAGTATATATTTTTAGAAAGGCGTATTGGTTTAATGGCTTCAAGTGAGAGAAAATTTTGAATGACATGAAGAATTGGATGGAGGTCATTTGAGGGCATGAGAAGCAAGAGATAATCTTTTTTAATCGTGGGAGGGGAAAGGAAATAAGGGTAAGTTAAAGAAGGAGGAGTAGGTCTGAGCGAACAAAGGGTATAACTTCGGGTAGCCAGCATTTTTTTGCCCTGCTGACCAGTTTACAAGGCAAATCAATTGGCAGCAGGTTTTCAGGAAGCATACTTTATTAATGCGGCTACTGTAGATTAAAACCTCCTAACCTTAACACACATTTACCTCAGGAACCTTTTTATGGGGGTGTTAAAGTTTAGGGAGAAGGCAACTTTACATAAGTAAGAACTAAAAGCAATGCAATTAAAGCATTAATGTTTTCTCAACTTCATGTTTTAAAATCAGGGCCCTGTTCCTTTTCTGGAGCACTAACTGTTAATGCTGAAATCCAGCATGCAGTTTGAAGTGTCTGTGGCTTTCAGTGTTTAAAATTAGCTAGCTGCAAAATGATTTGTCAGAGACAAAGAGTGAAGCTTTCTGGAAGGATCACCCAAGAGAAGGAAATGGGCTATGATGAATGAAGTTCTTGTTCCCAGTTCTCACATTCCTCAGAGTAGCTCTCCCTGGAATATTTTTACCAGAATGCCATTGCAAATGCAGTGGCTGTGCTGAGAGCTTGCCAGGTTATGCCATGACTGAATCATGCCACTGAATGTGCGAAGGGTGCCTTCCTCATAATAAGGCATCGCAATTGGATGGGCAGCTGGTTGTGGTTTATGGTTGCATTGGACCCCATGACAAAGAATCATGAAGTTTGTGAAATATTTTTGATCTTCTGTTGAGGACTTTGCAAAATGTTTTGTTTGAGCGCCGTCAAGGATGTATGGGCTCACATTTCTAGAGAGCAACCTTTATTTACTTTTTTTTTCTTCAGGCTTTTGAAGGATGTTTGCTTCTTTTAGTGTCTTGTAATGTACCTCCCTTCAAAATAAAGGAAACTTACTGGAAAATGTAGGTTTGTGTTCCTTTGTAACATCTCAGCTTGGCTAGAACAGTCCAAACAACAGATTTTTGTTTTGTGATAACTTCCTAATTATTCAAATTTGTTTTCTGGTAAAAACAACAACAACAATTCCTCCTTCATCCCCTTGATTGTAGGGATTGTTTTTTCTGGAGGTTGGGGATCAGGTTCTAAAGAGCACAGCAGAACCTTTTGGGCTGGCTCAAGCCCCCCAGTTTCTGTTACTTTGAGGGAGTGAGTCCCAGAGGCTCCTGTACTGATGGAAAGCTGTAAGGCATCATTAAGTGCAAAGTGTGCTGTCCTAACACTGCCTTGCAAAAATTTCCTTCCGTTCTGGGGATGAAGGCCGTTATCTCTGGTTAGGAGAGTAGGTTAGTGGGACAAATCAGTTCAGTTTTAACAGTTTGTGTGGTAGCTTTCAGTATCCTGAGAGACACAAGCTCTGCGCAAAGCAGTTTAAATTCCTTCTGCTGATGCTGGATTTGATCGTTATGTTATGTGGTAAAGATAGCAGTGCTCTTTACTTTAGAAAGAGCTCTTCGTGTCCCAGAGATTTTTCTTGTAACTTGTTTCTATAATTATATCAAAGTGCTTCAAGTATTTCTGTAATGTTTAACTAGCGGTTACTGGGATTTCTGCAGATTTTCTCACCAACTGAAATGCTTTAATGGTACGAGGTAATGCTTCTGTCTGTAAGCACCAGGGCCAGCAAGATCTGGTATTCTTCTGATATACCGAGAGTTTGTCTAACTATAGAAAGAAATAACCTTTGAACTACAATAAACTGCTAATCTTGGATCAAAACTGGAAGGAAGAAAATGAGTATTTGGGGTCAAGCTTTG